TTAGTTGGATTGATCAATCCAACTAAATATATATATATATATATATATATATATATATATTATATTATTATATGTATGTTCTGTTATTCTAAATACATCAAGCTCTCTGTGGATCAGTTTTAATAATTAATATTACTACTAGGATCCACCCAGATCATATATCAATGGACTGATTACCTATACTATATATATATATATATATATATAAATATCTTACAATCTTAATAAAACTACTGTTTATTAGAATTGCATTTGCCATCAGAAACAAACAAAAAGAAGCATAATATTTCACTCTGACACGAGTACAACTGGATCTTAAGTTAAATAATTAAGTTAGATTAGAAGACTCAATAATAACATATAAAGTACTTGAAGTCACAGTGCAAGAAATATTAATTGCAAAATAAATAAATAAAATTACTTGTCTGCTAGTTTTCTAGCAATATGTTTTACCAGACCAAATAGCATCTGTTACATTTCCCATTCTTGAATAATCACCAAAACATCTTCTGGGTGAGAGACAATGTTAACCTGCTCAACCTTGAACTAACTGTATCAAGTTAAGAAATATAGTATATCTCCTGTAGCCTCTTTCTTTTTGGGCAGCAGAGAACAAAATCTGCAGAAACATATAACTCATTATTCTAAAAATGTTAACCAAACCTTGTTTTAATCATCTTGTGAGTTTGTTAAATTTTAACCTATAGTCAGGCTAATGTCTCTATTATTCATACCGGAGCATGCACACTACTAGCATATTTTTTTAATCATTTCACCCCAAGCAAGGGGATAAAGGCACTAAGATGCAAGAGGTTACAGACATTTTATGAGGAAAAAGGACAATAACAGAACTGGATTCAAGGAAACAAAAAATAACAATTGACATTGTATTTAAATTTTAGAATATCAAAGTTGACAGGAAAGCAAGAAGCCAGAAGTGAGTTCCACAAGTGAGAAATATGAGAGAAGAAACCATTAGTATAGAACTTATGCTTACACTTATCAATTTCAGCAGTAAAATGATGGGACCTATCTACCAATCTAGTAGTGTGCATAAATTCATGAATATGTGATACCAAAGAGGAAAGATAATCAGAATAAAGACCATGAAAATATTTATAGAAAAGGCACAAAGAAGCTATGTTATAAAAGTGGAAAAGTGATTGAAGCTGAGATTCCATGTCAAGACTGATAACTTTGCAGATTCTTTTGATTTTGTCAAGAATTTCTAGATACATAGCAGAAGCACCAGACCAGATATGGAAGCAATATTCACTGTACCAACAAATGATAGACTTATAAATGTGCAAGATAGATTCTGGTGAGAAAAAATTATCTAGTACAAACATAGTGAACCAACTTTCCTAACAGAAAATCTGATACAAAGAATACATATTTCCTTCAGCTATCTATTACGAAACTGTTACAATGAAACCATTTTTCAAATTTGAACTTTATATTATGTCAGGACTAATTTTTATTTCCTTCCATCATTGTTCATATTATATAAAGAAATTCTTTTGTTTACATTATTTTACATATGGACTATTGTCCTCATCTTTGCTGTTATCACATTTTGGCCATTGTGTGCTTTGACCTTCATCAGGTGATTGTTGATCTCGATAACCTTCAGGAAACTTTGAACTGATCCCTTAATTTAATCTACAGTGGTAGATTGTTCTTGTTTTGCCGACTAGGGATATCTTGTCTAGTTTTTATTTAGTACTGCTCAGTTATTGCTTATTGTTTCCACTGAATCCAAATATGCACTGCCCAACCCAGAGATTGAACTCGCAACTACTATGTCACCAAATTCACAAATCAATGTTCTAGATACTGTTAGTGGATTTTGATGAAGACAATAGTTTGCATGTAAATAATGATAACTCCTCATCTGAGAAATTCAAACAGATTTCTTTTGTTATAGTTAAGATGCAAATTACAATTTGGAGATACCAAAATCAAACAAGTACAACAATTTCAATAAAGTATTTTAACAGAGGATGAAAAGTATGACACTGAAATCTGAAGATGCATTGGAATAGTGAATTATGTCTTCTAAAAGCTAAACAAAGTACTAAGAAACACAAATATTTCATTAGAAACAAAGTAAAGAGTGCAGAACTGTTATGTAATATTAGTCCTCCTATATGGCAGTAAATGCTGGAGAATCTCTTAATAAATGAAAAAGAGACTTGAAGCAACATAAACGTAGTTCTACAGATCGATGATGAGAATACTATGGACCGAACATGTGAGCAGCTGCAGCAGTTTTAGAGAAAATGGAAACAAAAAGGACACTTATACTTAACATCAAGAAGAGATAATTGAAATTTCTAGGATATATAATGAAGAAAGAGGGCTTGGAAAATTTGATACTCACAGGACAGATTGAGGGCAAGAGGAAAACAACACATAACCTACCTAGCAAGCTTGAGTAAATAGAAGGCAGAGCAAGGTTTAGGAGAGATAACAAAAAGACAAAATTTATTAAGAGTTACAAAGGGCAGGAAATTGTGGAGAACCATGATTACCTATATCTTTAAAGTACACAGCACAATGAAAATTCTAAAATAATTTTTCTATATTTGTATATACACATTTTCTTAGGCAATTTCATCTTGTCAGATTTCATCCCCTGCTGATAAACAAGTATAAAACAGAATAGTGATAATCCCAATAGACCCGTTATGACAAGTGCAGACAAGATGTCTTGCTAGAGATGTTATTTGAATACCACAATTGATATAAATCCTATCTGTTTATTTATATTTCTTCTTTGTAAGCATCATGTTTTTTTTCATATGTTGCTATTTATATTCTATATGTTCATGTACCAGACTGACCACTAATAAAGATAACGTTTCGATAACCGATAATTTCTAGGATAAATGATGATTCAGTTAGAATTTTTTATGATATTATAATTAACCAGTTGGGATATTTTATATGACATCAGCAAAATATCTTATCAGCAACTCTAGATCAATTGTTACTTTCACTACCTTCATCACCATTGATTAGCTTGAATAATTATCCAATTCATGCCCAAAGAAGATGCTAACTCTTAGACTCCCCTGTGATGTATAGAGCCTCACTACACTAGGTGCTGCTGTAGTAGTTTCTGTAGGAAGTAGGGTTTTATGGGATGGAATTGCTAGCTCCATGCCCAGCTGGTTGTCCTTCCTCTAGACTGATTGCCAATCAAGATTAAGGAGCCCAGTCTTCTCTGCTATTCTATCTGGGAGGGATAAGGGAGAAGAAATGGCTCCATACATTTCCAAGGGTATTTGTGTGAAAGTGAACAAGTGGAATTTGAACTCAATTTGAGATTCTTAATTTCTGTACTGATAACTGCTTCATACCAAAGAAGGCCAGATAGAAAGACATGGAAAGAAGAAGGTAGGTTGAACAAGTGTATTGAAATAACAGAACATATATACAAAATAAGAGTGTTATTAGTCAGCAGATAAAAGTGTCCATCTGAACTGTCAGGTTATACTGCATCCCGACTGCCTCCTTTAGGAAGTCTCACAGGTTAGTATTTATGAAGGAGGAAGAGTTCATTCTAATGTAGATAGGTCACCATAACAAAAAGCAACTACTAAATGAATATACTACATTTGAATACCAGAAAAAAGTGCTCAATGCCATAATGGCAGAGCATTTATATTTTTATACAATAATCCAGCATACACATGACTGACCATGACTTCTGTTTTGTGCATGGAGTCATTAGATGCTGGTACTTTCCTTGTGTGTTAAAAATATATATGATCTGCTATGGTTGTGAAATGTGCCAGTATTGTTAAACAATATGAAGGAGGAAGAGTTCTTTCTAATGTAGATAGGTCGCCATAACAAAGACCTGGGAAAATAAAAAATTACCAAAAGATATCAGATACTATCAACTAATTAATTAACACTTTCAGTGCTGCATTTTTATGGCATTGTTTCTTGGCTGTACTGGCCCATTTTGGGAAAAACAGGAAATTGAAATTTACTGGAAATAAATGATTTTAAAGATGTTGATGGTGATTTCTCATGAGTACCACCATTTTCAGTTTGATTACAGTACAGACTAAACTAAATAACACCACCAACACACAATAAAAATACATCACAAAACAAGTTGTATTGTACACTACTAAGTGTCTGCACTGATCTGGAAACAACACTAAGATTTAGTTAGTTTATAACACAAACACTAGGGATCAACTTTTCAGAGTATCTAGAAAATGTATGTATATACCAACAGCAGACAATATACGTTTCATAAAGGTAAGTATGTTTTTAATATATTCTGAAAAGTGATGGGACTGGTGTCACAAACAATTTATTTAAATTCCAAACAACAAACTACATGTTTTCCCTCTCAAGTCTAATGCATTTTTCCATCTTTCTCTGTCACACTTCTATGCACTACTGGAAGGATTCTTTTTGGATGCCCCTCTGCTCTGTAGTTACAGCCCATTTGATGCCTTCAAAATGGGTCCCTTTGATGATCCCCTTGAACTTGGAGAAAAGACAAATGTCACACACAGCAAGATCAGATGAACAGGGAAGTTGTTCCAGTATGGCAAAGCTTTTCTTGGACAGAAACTGACGGATGTTCAGAGTGTTGTAAGCAGGTGAAGCAGCCACAATTTGTCCTGCTACAAAAGCATGTGCAAAAAAAATGCATTGGTTGCAGAAAGTTAAGATTACAGTTATATATATATATATGTGTGTGTGTTAACAGCAGGTAATGTAAGTTTTGTAAAGATGTATTAGTACATACACACCAGAACAAGCATTAATATCTATTATATTTTTATGCATTATGGAACAAATTGTTTTCTCTTGAAAATTAACTTGTAGAATTTTAGATAAATGTGTAATTCTTTGTGTATTTTTTATGTGACCTTTTTGATAAAATGATTAAAAATGTATACATAGATAAATTTATCAAAGTTAAATACAAGTGAGATTTAATAATTAAATATATAATTCTCTTGCAGTTCCAAGACTGGCAATGGAATTCCACTCTTGCAGGCTTTCATTGGCTATGTCACAGGAAATTTGAAGGTTAAAGGACATTAATGACTGCCATCCATTCTCAACCTGAAACAGATTAAAATTGATCTACAGATAAAAAAATTAGGACTTTTAGTGAAGAACATTGGATTTTGAAAGGAAAATTCAAAAGATTTTTCAAGCTAATTATTTTATCAAAGATTTAATTAATGTTTTTTTCCAGTTACTTTCAAATACTATCATACAATTGTTGTTCTAAAATAAAGTCCCAAATAACAATGAACAACTTATGACCTATTTGTAAGCAAATGCAGTAAACACATTTCAATTATTTGAAGTGCACAATAATTAAAATAGCTATTTGGAGTTAAGAGACAAATATTTATAAGTAACTTAAAAGCTGCACTCTGTGTGGACTTTTAAGCTAGCTACTTCAGAGGGCTAATTGTGCCTCTAGCCCAAAATTAAAGGGATCTCTGGTCCAGTTTAGAAAACTTAAATGATAATTTTGAAGAAATAACTTTGAATTCCTCAATTCATTCCATGGAACTTCAAAAGCTCACTTTGGACTATAAGCCCAATTCCGGCCTAAAGACTGGTTTGGATCAAAATTCCAATTCAGGCTGAAAATTGAGTTCTTCAAATCACAAACTCTGCAGAATTTCAAAACCTCATGTCATGAAACCTTTCACTTTATCTCTGATTCTGTGACATTTTGAAGAAATAAAACTGATTTCCTTAATTCACAAAGTTTTGGAGATATCTTAAACTGAATTTAAAACAAAAACTTTTAAAACCACTTTTTTCAGTTATTTTAAAATTTGAATTTTTAACTGTTCCCTCCTCATTTGGATACAAATTCCAATGCTGGATGTTCAAGCACCAGGTGAATGGCAGATTTTTAATCTTGGGATCATCCTGATTCCAAAAAGGTATAATCTGTCTGTGTAGAACAAGTGTTAGAGGGGTTTCAGACAGACAGAATTTGCTGTTTATTTATTTAGAAGGTTAAAACACCTTTGCCAATGGCATGGCATAATGATTAGTGTTTAAACTCACTGTGGAATGGTTTCCCATTGCCTTCTCCAAAGTTTGGAATTTAGAGTCTTCCTTACCAAGTCTAGAGAGATTAGTTTACGCTGCTATTTAATCCCTAGCTGACACTACTACCTCTGAAATATACTAAATGACTCAGGAGTAGCTGTCCAAGAACTTTCATGGTCATTTCACCCCAATATGTGGCAGCTTATCTTTCTTGATTTGAATCCCCTCTCTAAACTAACCACAATCCCAAGAACTTATTAAAGACTGCAATTATAAACATGATAGCTAACCTGAATGAGAACCAGTTGATCCAAGCATGCAGTCACTTCAAGGTCATCCTTAAAGGTGAATGCAGTTTTAGGGAATAAATTCTTTTCCTGTTTTTCTAAGTTGAACAAGTGTACAAATATTTCTGAAAATATACTGATTTTTTTTCTATTGAGTACGTTTATTTTTATCTATATTATAACTTATTCTCAGTTACTAGGCATATCCAGGTATATAAAAGAATCTATTTTGGCAATTTGAGTTGAAAGTTGGCCATTACATTATTGAAAATTAAAAATGTAGATGCCATTCTTATATTTTTGAAAATCATAAGAATAGGAATATTTCATAATACTACAGTTTCAATATATGTATTTCTGAATATTTTATAGAATATAGGTAATAAAATGTACATGACTTAAATTGGTAAAATACTACAGCTAGAATAAGGAGATTGCTCTAATGGTAGTTTTGTGTACCAAATCCAAATGCCAGTCAGCATAAATAAATTATTACCTTCAAATTAAATTATTTTGCAGTATAGTGCTTATTTTATATAGCATGATTATTATTTTTCAAATAATTTTCTCTATGACATGTGGCCTCTTAGATAACTTTGGGAAGTCTTGAAAAGGGGAAACCAGCCAATGGCTCCACAGTAACATGGACTCATTGAAGGCTAACATAGTGAATCAAATGGCCAACATAAAAAAGTCATCTGATCCATGGAGGCAGTCACCTCTGAGCCTGCATCAAGTCCATCCTTGAAACAGATGGTGGTTTTATTGAATAATGTTTTTCCTCTTTTTCTAAAATAAAAATGTATATAAATATTTTTGAAAATATACTGATTTTTCTGTCGAATATCCTTGTCTTTTTTTTTTTTTTTTTTTATTAGAATGTGTTCTCAATTATCTGACACACCTTTTATGCAAATAAAAATACTATTTTGATACAAAAGCATTAAAAATTTTCACATCTAAAAAGAAAAAATCCTAAACTTGTATAAAAGTTAATTTTATCAACAAAATATTGGTATCATGAGTAAAAAGATAGATTTGAGGTAATTCCAATATAAAAATTCTTTGAGCAAATTTTACAGCACTAGAAATTTTTTTAAAGAACTCACTGTTGAGTAAGTTGTTTATTTGTTATGCAACAAGAGGTCCTAAAAATTTGTACAAGAGAATTTTTAGGGGAAAAAATCCCTTACTTTACAAAAATACTGTTTTAAAAAAGAAAACTGATTTAAACTCTATTTTTTGGAGTTTAATAAAATTTTAATCATTTTAATAAAAGAAAATTAAAAAAATTTTTTATTTAAAAAACTTTTTTTTATTATTACTCTAAATTTTAATTTGATTTACTAATGCAATCATGACTTCATTGAACTTTTACACATTTTAAAGATAAATTCCCAGAAAAGTAAATTTTGTTTGCTTTTTTAAAAAAATAAATAAATACTGTATGCATTTGTAATCTTTGAAAGGACAAACCTTATCAGATTCTTGGAATTTAAGTAATTGGGTAGAATATAAAGGAAGCTACATATTACCCTTTGTTTATTTAGGTTCATAAAATGTCATTGTGAAAAAAGAGGGGGTCATACTAAATCAAGGTTATTAATCAAAATGATATTTAAAAAGTACTAACAAAAAAGAAAAGAAAAACAAAATAAACTCTGATCTATCTCATAATATGCAAATTTGTATTGGTGTATAAAATGAAGGTTTTACTGTAGTCAAAAGGAGAGAGTTCAATATCCTCACTCTTTCTGTTTTACTTAATTGACTACATGTCTGCAGTTGTGATGTATTATTGGTGGACAGATTACAAATAGCAATTATATACTGGCTTTAATAGTCAGTCCAGGTTTCTCAAATTTCAGTGAAGGATAATTACTGAAAGTACAAACAAATCAATAAACAGTTTACTTGTCATAAATATAAAGAGATCAAAGCTTAGTTTTTGGCTGTTCAATTATCCAACCAGTTATGTATGTGAGGTTTCTAAAAAGTTTTCAGCTCTACACAGAAGCTCCTCTCCCCACAAAATCCCATGTTTGTTCATTTGGTGAGATTTTGGATAGTAGATTGAATTCAGAAATTTTCAGCATACCCTCATATTATGAAAGGGACTCTCCATTGAAAGATGTTGGCAAATTGTCAGTGACTCGAGGAAATTGCTAGTTAATATAACTTTTTATTTTGTTATCTTTAGCCAGTTCATATATCCTTTGCATCATCACTTTTACACTGGTCATAAATATTTGGCACAAAGTCATCTATGTGGATCATGAGGGCTTTTTCTTTTATGTGTCCTGAAACAACAAGACGATCATGGCTTTCCATAACTCTTTAACCTTTGTAGCTCTAAGCAAAGTTTATTCTCTTACTACCCCTGCCAGTCCCTGTTCTACCATCCATTTACATAAGCTCATTAGGTATCTAACTCAATGTTTTCCCCTGCCCTTCTTGCCTTCAATATGTCCTCTGAGTGGCATATTCTCTGAACCCTCTTTTCTTGTTGTGTCTCAGAAATTTAAACTGTCTCTTTCTAAGATTGAATACTTATTCTAATTGTTAAACTTACCTTATCTCAATATGTTGGGTTGTATTTAGACCTTATATTTAGCTTTTAGCAACATAGTGAACTTTTTTGCCTAAATAAAGTCAATGTCACAGTAACCTCATTTTGGTGTCCTTACAATGAACTTTGTTGTGTTCTGTGTTGTCTCTGGGTCCCCATGCCAATACATAAAATGGTATCAACAAAAAGGACAATTTCTTTTTCTTATTTGTTTTTATTAAAAGAGGGGGCAGACGTGACAGTTTGGATTTTAAGAGGCAGCAGGAAAAATGATGTCACAGGTACACATGTCACAGCATTGTCTCAATGACCCTGGGTATTGGAAGCATATCGATGCTTCCAAATTCTTGTGGCCCTCTGTTGAATATGTGCCATTTTGGACTTATATCCAAAACCCAGACAAAGGTAATCCATCACTGTCAGAATACCATGCCCATAAGGCACTCTGACCAATCACTGGCCATTGTGCCCCTGGTTTCCACATTCTGTCACACATTGTTGCTCAAATGGCAGAAAATGGGATGGTGGCAATAGAGTCCTTGAAAATGGACTATACAGTGAGCCCTTTTCCTCCAGCATTTTTTTTATGGTAGATCACCACAAATAGTAGGTTATTATCAAAAGAGAGTTTATTAGGATAAAGAGGTGAACTTTTGATTCTTGGTGTTAAAATGTACAAGCAAGATAAGTGCAGCCTGAATTGAGACTTCAGATGTCTTTTTAATGTTCTGATTGGCTCTAGCCTAAGGACTGAAGCATAAAACTATTAAACCATGTACCAACAAGGAATTCAAAAGACCAGCTGCCAAAATGTAACTCATACATAAACTTTGGAGTTTCTGGAGCTGGATACTGCAAATTCCTGGAAAAATTTTGAAATTTGAACAATCAGAAGGATATTTTGAGGTTATATGAAATGGATATTAGAACATATTCTATGGTCAATATTAAGTACTTCAGTCCATTCACTTATGAATCTATCATTAAAATAACTTTATTTTAATAAGAACCTCCATTGATTTTGTTGGAAAATTCACTCATTAAAAAATGTGCTTTACAACTCTGGGATTAGGGATCCTGAAGTTTTAGTTTCATGGTAGATTTATCACTAAATATTATGGAACCATCATTCCAATGATCAATTTTATACA